CTATCCCAAGTTACAGTCTGCAGAAAAGTCAAGGTTGCAGGAACTGAAACAGATGGTCATATCACATCTGCAGGGAAGCGGGAGAGCAAATGAAATGAACGCAGGAGTTCCAGTGCTCAGCTGCCCTTTCCACTCCTCCATAGTCTTGGAACCCAGCCAAGGAATGACCCACCCACAGTGGTCAGGTCTTCCCAACTTGTTATGCAATCAAGATAATCCCCACAGGCGTGCCCAGGGGTCAGAGTAGTTCTAGATTTTGTCAAGTTGACAATCAGCACTGACTATCACCACAACAAAACACAATGGAGAAGTACCTACCCTTTGCAAATCCAACTGACCTGTGAGAGAGCCCCGTGCTACCCCTCCTCAACTTCTTCTGATTGGAATAAGTGATTTGGCCACAGAAGAAATAAAAACCTGGAGAAGGCTCATAAATGCCTTCCATCTTTGGATCAAGAACTCTCGATTTTTCTCTTGGGAAAAGGATAACATTTATTCTTCCGAGTATTGTTTTTTTCTGTAGGGTTTTTTTTTTTTTTCAGCAAAGCCTTTTCCAATGAAATCTTATAACATTTTCCAATTGTGAAATAAATTGAAGCTTAGCTGCTCTGGCTACAAAGAAACTTCGGGTTCTGTGCATCCCGAAGCTCCTTTTCAGGATCCTGAGCAGCACAACTCAAAAGCCACTCTCCCACAACGGGGATTCTTCTTCTTTTTTTTTTTTTTTTAAGGTATTTTATTCTTTCAAGTATATGTGCATTCACATCTGTGTGGGGACATGTATATGTGAATGCAGGTGCCTGATGAAGCCAGAGGCATCTGGGCTCCTAGAACTGGAGTTGTGGGTGGTTACGAGTCACCCAACATGGATACTGGAACCGGGGTCCTCTGCAAGAACAGTACATGCTCTTAATCACTGAGTCGTCATCTCTCTAGCCCCTACACCAGGAACTCTTGCTCTTGTGGATGGTGATTGGAATAAGTGGTTTGTCCAAGGGGGGAAATACAAGTCCAAAGGAAGGCTCACAGATCCCACCCACAATGGACCTAAAATGCTCCAAAGGTTTCTAGAAATTGATACCAACAACTCTGGAAGTAATTGAATAATATTCCTTGCAAGTGAAATGCTCTTACTTGTGACCCTGTGTTTTGACTTCCTGTTACTATAAAATAAACACAGGCAAGGGTAATTTTTAAACATCATAAATTTAACTTAAAAGCAGTATAAATTTATTATTAACAATTATGAAGACTGGAAAGTCTAAGATCAAATCAAGATTTGATGTCTCTTTAAGGGCTCAGTCTTTGATTCTAACACAAGGCCTTGAATGCAGTACCCTCTGCAGGAGGTGAGCACACTGTGTCTTCAAATGACAAAGAGGTGGAAGGACAACAAAAGGGCCTAGCTAGTTCTCTCTAGCACATCTAATTTAAAAAAAAAATTATGTGTATGTGTGTTTGTGTCTGTGTGAGTCTGTACGTACCATGCATATTCAGGTACCTAGAGAGACTAGAAAAAGGACATTGGGTACCCTGAAACTGAAGTTACAGACAGCTGTGAGCTCTCCATTGTAGATGCTAAGAACTGAACCTGGATCATTTGCAAGAATGACAAATGCTCTTAACCAGTGAGCCATTTCTTCAGCCCCATTCTAGCCCTTTTGTAGGGTGTTAATTCGTCCATGGGGCAGAGTCTTCCCCAGAGGCCCTACCTTTTAATACTATCATGTTCGATCTTAGGTTCTGATATACAGATTTTTCAGGGACACAAAGCATTCATACTAGAGCACCCTGAGTAACAGGCACAGAAACAGGGGCTGCTAAGAAGGCTCAATAGATAAAGGCACTTGCCCTTAAGCCTGACAACTAAATTACACCTCCAGAATCCACATGGTGGAAAGGAAGAACTGAAAGTTGTTTTCGGACCTCCACCTGCACCCCATGACTAGATCACCCTCCACACATACACAAAATAGGTAAAAATCTTGGTAATATCCCTTAAGGAAACATATGTAGAAAGTGAGATACATGCAATAATTTTTGTAGTAGGATTATTTGTTATAAGAAAAAAAGCTGGAATATCCCAATAGCTAGCAAAATAAGAATGGATAAATACATTGTGATATAGTTAAATAATAAAATATTATCCCGCAGAGAAAAATAAAATGAAGTAGTTATACCTATCAATTTAGATAAAGTTTCTAATTATAACATCAAACATAAAAAAGCCATAGACTATACATGATATTAAATAATTGTATAAAATTAAAGTGAGAATAGTATTATATCAGTGATATGTAATAAAATATATCAAAATACCAAAATACATGGAGATGATAGACATAAAATTTAGAACAGTATCTCTCTCAAAGTAGAAATAAATGAGAGGCATTACTATGTAGGTAATTTTTCTTTTTCTCGAGACCAGGTTTCTCTGTGTAACAGTCCTAGCTGTCCTGAAACTTGTGAACCAGGCTGGCCTCAAAATGGAGATTCACCTGCCTCTGCCTCCAGAGTGCTGGGATTAAAGGTGTGAGCCACCACCACCCAGCTTTAAACTATGTAGGGAATTTTTTTCTTTTTAGATCTGCATGTGTGTGTGTGTGTGTGTGTGTGTGTGTGTGTGTGTGTCATCCTTGCAGTTCTAAATATTTCATATTAAAAACAAGTTTTGTAAATCGCCACTACTAGGAAGGTATGGAGGCTCTACATGTTGTCCTTTTATTGCAAGAGTAGTGTTTATTGGGAGTTATTACTAATTAAAACATGACATGTCTCAATAGTTACTTTTCAACCATATTAGAAATCCATGTAGACAGATCTTCAGATCTGTTTCAATTTTAACCTAT